ACCGGGACGCGTGCGAGCAGAAGTGCGTCGTGCCGGAGAGGACGGGTGAGTGTCTTTGTTTGTGTGTATTTGTTTGTGTCTTTGTTTGGGTTTGTTTGGGGAGAGGAGGTTGTGTTTGTTTGGGGACAGGGACGGCGGATGCTTGGGAAACAACAACCGATTTGCGGACCGGGACGCGTGCGAGCAGAAGTGCGTCGTGCCGGAGAGGACGGGTGAGTGTCTTTGTTTGTGTGTCTTTGTTTTGGGTTTGTTTTTGTTTTTGTTTGTTTGGGGAGAGAAGGTTGTGTTTGTTTGGGGAGAGGAGGTTGTGTTTGTTTGGGGACAGGGACGCGTGCGAGCAGAAGTGCGTCGTGCCGGAGAGGACGGGTGAGTGTCTTTGTGTCTGTTTTTGTGTCTTTGTTGTTTATTTTTGTTTTGTTTGGGGAGACAAGTTTATTTTTTTTACGTTTTTTTTTGGGGGGGGGGGAGGGGGAGAGAAGATCGTTTTTTTTTTTTTTTTTTTTTTGCCGTTTTATAACTTTTTTTTCAACCATTTTTAACCGTGATTTTTAACCGTGATTTTTAACCGTGATTTTTAACCGTGATTATTAAACCTTTTTTTTTGCTGTTTTTTAACCATTTTTTTTGTTGTGTTCTGTTTTATGTTTGTTTGTGATGAGAAGACCGTTTTTCCGGTATTTTGTGTTTGTCTTTTTGTTTGTTTTCCGTTATTTTTTTGTTTGTGTCTTTGTTTGGGAAGAAAAGTCCGTTATTTTCCTTTTTGTTTGTTTGTTTGTTGTTTTCTTTTTGTTCGTTTGTAATTTGTTTCTTTTTTGTTGTTGTTTGTTTTTGTTTGTTATTAATCTTTTTCTTCTTGTTTTTCCTCTACTTGTTTTTATTTGTTTTTTTTTCTTGTTTCTTTGTTTCTTATCCACTTGTCTTTGTTTTTTTCTTGTTTCTTTATTTCTTGCCTTCCTGTTTTTATTTGTTTTTTTTCTTGTTTCTCTGTTTCTTGTCTTCTTGTTTTTGTGTTTGTTTGTTTTTCTTGTTTCTCTGTTTCTTGTCTTCCTGTTTTTATTTTTTATTTTTTCTTGTTTCTCTGTTTCTTGTCTTCCTGTTTTTATTTTTTATTTTTTCTTGTTTCTCTGTTTCTTGTCTTCCTGTTTTTGTGTTTGTTTGTTTTTTGTTTTGCACGTTTTTCAATAATTATTTTCTTATGTATTCTATTATTTGCATGATTTTCGTTCATTTAAATATTTAATTTGCTTAGAAATTTTCTTGTTTTTAAGTAATATTGATTTAAAATTTTTTAAAATTTTATAAATAAAAATATATATATATATAAATGTTTTTTTTTTTAATATTGAATATTGAATTAAATTACTTGAAATTTTAGAAATAAAAGATATATATATATATATTTATATATATATGTTTTGTTTTCTTTAAAATATTAAATGTTGAGTTAAATGACTTAGAAATTTTAGAAAAAAAAAAAATGTATAATTTTTTTCTTTAAAAATATTACGTTCGTATCTTTCCTCTCCGCTGATTGGTCGAAAATTCCTTTTGAAATAACTCTCGACCAATCAGCGACGACCTTCCTTCACGGGCGTTGCTGATTGGTTAAGAGGGAGGATCCTGGCCAATCAGCGACGGGTTTGATTTCTCATTTTTCATTTTATTTTTTTTTTTTTATCATTTTTTAAAATTCTTTTTATTATCTCTTCATGTTTTGTATTATCTTTATCTTTTTTAGCATCTTTTTGGGCCATTTTTTTTTTTTTTTTCGAAAAAAAAATCGCAAAAAATGCGCGCGAAATTTGGCGAAAGTTGTTTATTTCATTTTTTTTTTATATATTTATTTTAAGGAAATGCTCTTCCTAAATTTTTATTTTTATGTTATCCAAATGTTTTTTTTTTAGCGTTGCTGATTTGGTTAAGAGGGAGGATCCTGGCCAATCAGCGACGGGTTTGATTTCTCATTTTTCATTTCATAATATTTCTTTTTTTTTTAATCTTTTTTATTCTTTTTATTATCTCTTCATTTTTTGTATTATCTTTATCTTTTTTAGTATCTTTTTTGGCCAAATTAAAAAAAATTTCTTCGATAAAAAAAAAAAAAAAAAAATCGCAAAAAGTGCTCGCCCTAAGTTTTTAAAATTTGGCGAGAGTTGTTTATTTAATTTTTTTTTAATTATTTTAAGGAAATGCTCTTCCTAAATGTTTATTTTTCTTTTATCCAAATATATATTTTTTTTTTATTAGAAGTATTTGTTTATTTAATTTTAAGGAATTTGGCGGAAGGTGCTAGCCCTAACTGAAATAATTTTGGAACAATTTTTATTTTTTTTCTTTTTCTTTCTTTCATCTAAATCTTGTAGTTTTGTAGTTTATGAAGAAGAAAAAGAAAAAAAATATTCTGTCTATCCAATACGTTTTTTTTTTTTTCAAGATTTATTTTTTATTTATTAAAAAAAAAAAAAAAAAAAAAAAAAAAAAAAATCGTCTGGATTTTCAAATTGAAAAGATTTATATCCTTTTATAAAATAATAATAATAATAATAATAACAATAATAAAATATATATATATATATATATATATGAAATAATGATTTTGATTTTAATGATAATTTAAGTCATTTGAAAAAAGGCGATAGACATAATATTTTTTTTATTAATTAATTAATGATAATAATAAAATAATAATAGTAATAATAATAATAATAAAAAATAATAATAAAATAATAATAATAATAATAATAGTAATAATAATAATAGTAATAAAATAATGATAATTAAAAAAAATAAATAATAGTAATAGTAATAATAATAATAATAGTAATAATAATAATAATAGTAATAATAATAATAATAATAATAAATATTTTGGAATGACTTAAAGCATTTTGCATCCAGTTGCCAATTAATGTATTAACCTGTTCCTTTTTTTTTCTCTTTCCCTCTCTCTCTCTCCCTTCGTTTATCTGTTTACCTTTTGTGACCCCCTTTTTTTATTTATTTATTTATTTTATTTTATTTTTTTTCTTTGTGGCGTTTGATCCTTTTTCTTGTACATGTTATATCGACCTAAATCCTTTCCCCCCCACCCCCCCCATCTCTATATCCTCCCCCCCCATCCCCCATACCCACCACCCTACCCCCACCCCTCCCCTATCCCCCTCCCCTCCATCCACCCCCATACCCCCTCCCCCCCATCCACTCCCTATCCCCCTATCCCCCCTCCCCCCAATCCTTCCCCCACCCTACCCCCACCCCTCCCCTCCATCCACCCCCTCCCCTCCCCATACCCCCATCCCCCCCATCCACTCCCTATCCCCCTATCCCCCCAATCCTTCCCCCACCCTACCCCCCACCCTTCCCCCTCCCCCCGTCCCCTCCATCCCCAACCCTTCCCCCTCCCCCCCCCCATCCACTCCCTATCCCCCTATCCCCCTATCCCCCAATCCTTCCCCCACCCTACCCCCCACCCTTCCCCCTCCCCCCATCCACTCCCTATCCCCCTATCCCCCCTCCCCCCAATCCTTCCCCCACCCTACCCCCCACCCTTCCCCCTCCCCCGTCCCCCAACCCTTCCCCCTCCCCCCCCATCCACTCCCTATCCCCCTATCCCCCCAATCCTTCCCCCACCCTACCCCCCACCCTTCCCCCTCCCCCCCGTCCCCTCCATCCCCCAACCCTTCCCCCTCCCCCCCCCATCCACTCCCTATCCCCCTATCCTCCCCACCCCCTCCCCCCTTACCTTCCCCCCACCCCCTCCCCTCCACCCCCCCACCCCCTCCCCCCTTACCTTCCCCCCTCCCCTATTCCCTCCACCCCTCCACCTCCACCCCCCCTCCCCCAATCCTCCCCTCCCCCCACACCCCCCCCCCACACACCCCTCACCCCACCCCCTCCACACACTCTCCAACACCCCCCACACCAGACCCCTGCCTCCAAGAAGTAGCCCCGGGTCCCTGCCGAGGCAACTACACCCGCTGGGCTTTCCATCGCGAGCAGAAGGCGTGTCGTCCCTTCGTCTTCGGCGGCTGCAAGGCCACGGCCAACAACTTCCTGATGGAGGAGGAGTGCGTGCAGCGCTGCTTGAAGGGCGGCAGGAGAGGTTAGGAGGAGGATAGGTGGATAGGAGAGAGGTTAGGAGGATAGGTGGATGGATAGGAGAGGGATAAAGATGGATAAGAGTGGATAAGAGAGGTTTGGAGAGCTAGATAGGTGGATAAGAGTGGATAGGAGAGGGACAAAGATGGATAGAGGAGGATAGGAGAGGATAGGAGAGAGGTTAGGTGGATAGGTGGATGGATAGGAGAGGGATAAAGATGGATAGGTGGATAAGAGAGGTTTGGAGAGCTAGATAGGTGGATAAGAGTGGATAGGAGAGGGACAAAGATGGATAGAGGAGGATAGGAGAGGAGAGGAGAGAGGTTAGGAGGATAGGTGGATAGGAGAGGGACAAAGATAGATAGGAGGATGGATAGGTGGATAGGAGATGTTAGAAGGATAGGGGGATGGATAGGAGAGGATAGAAGAGAGGTTAGGAGGTGGATAGGTGGATAAAAGTGGTTAGGAGAGCTGGATAGGGGGATAGACATAGATAGATAGCTGGATAAAGGGACATAGACGGATAAGAGTAGTTAGGAGAGGTGGATAGATGGATAGAGAGATAAAAGAGAGATTAGGAGGGTGGATAGGTGGATGGATAGGATAGGAGGTGGATAGGAGAGGACAGGAGGTGGATAGGTGGATCGGAGAGGTTAGAAAGATAGGTGGATAGATAGGACAGGAGGTGGATAGGAGGAGGAGATATATGAATAGGAGAGGATAGGAGATAGACAGGAGAGGTTTGACAGATAGAAAGGTGGATAAAAAAAGCGTTTAGGAGGTGGATAGGTGGATGGATAGATGGATAAGCGTGGTTAGGAGACCTGGATAGGTGGATAGGCGAGGGATAAGAGAGGAAAGGAGGTAGATAAGGAGAGGTGAGGAGAGAAAGACAGGGGGATAGGAAAGGATAGGAGAGCTGGATAGGTGGATAGGGAGATAAAAGACAGGTTAGGAGATAGGAGAGGTATTAAGATAGATGGATGGCTTAATAGACAGGTGGATAGATGGATAGACAGTGATAGATGGATGGATAGACATAATTGGATAGATGAATAGATAGTAATAGACAGACATGGCTGGATAGACAGATCGATAGATAAAGAGACTGAAGAAGGAAAGGGAAAAAAAGACACGAATTGAAGGATAGATTGATAGATAGATGGATAGACAGTGATAGATGGACCGGTGGTTGAATGGATAGAGGCGTGGATAGATAGATAGAGGTTAGGTGGAACAGAATTTGATAGATGGGGGAGGGATAGGAAAATGGATGTATAGATAGAGATGGGGATAGATAGATAAATAGATGAATAGATAGATAAATAGATGGATAGATGTATAGATAGATAAATAGATGGATAAATGGATAGATAGATATATAAATAGATGGATAGATTGATGGTTAGATAAATGAATAAATAAATGGATGGATAAATGGATAGACAGATAGATGGATAGATATATAAATAGATAGATAGATAGATAGATAAATAGATAGATAAATAGATGGATGAGTAGATGGATAAATTGATGGATAAATAGATGGATAGAGGGATAGATAAATGAATAGATAGGTAAATTGCAGGTATTTTCTATAATATAAGTGACAATTTTCTTCAAAATCTAATTTTTTCCTTCATTCTCTCTGACTGTAATATATATATATATATATTTTTTTAAGTTTTTGTTTTTCTTAGATATTTAATATAAGTTCTAATTTAGTATTCTAATATCATGCATTTTGGATTTTTTTTTTTTTTTCTTGCATTTTTGAGTTTTTTTTTGCATGTAATTAGCATGTAATTAGCATGTAATTTGCATGTTGGGATGTAGTGTTTTTTCTTTCTCTTTTTTTTTGTAATTTCGGTTATTAATGTGTTTTTTTGCTTCTTGATTAAATTTTTTCTTTGGTTGAAATTAAATGAGAAAATGTTTATGTGCGTACATGGACACGTACACACACATACACATACACGTACACGTATACATACACGTACACGTATACATACACGTACACGTACACGTACACGTATACATACACATACACATACATGGACACATACACGTACACGTACACATACACATACACATACATGGACACATACACGTACACATACACGTACACATAAACGTACATGGACACATACACATACACGTACATGGACACATACACATACACGTACATGGACACATACACATACACGTACATGGACACATACACATACACGTACATGGACACATACACATACACGTACATGGACACATACACGTACATGGACACGTACACGTACATGTACACATACACGTACATGGACACGTACACATACACGTACATGGACACGTACACATACACGTACACATACACGTACACATACACGTACATGGACACGTACACATACACGTACACATACACGTACACATACACGTACATGGACACGTACATGGACACGTACACGTACACGTACACATACATATACACGTACACGTACACATACACGTACACGTACACATACACGTACATGGACACGTACACATACACGTACATGGACACGTATACATACACGTACATGGACACGTACACATACACGTACACATACACGTACACATACACGTACATGGACACGTACACATACACGTACACATACACGTACATGGACACGTACACGTACACGTACACATACATATACACGTACACGTACACATACACGTACACGTACACGTACACGTACACGTACATGGACACATAAACGCACATGGACACATAAACGCACATGGACACATAAACGCACATGGACACTTACACGTACACGTACACTTACACACATGTACACATACACGTACACACACATGTACACGCACAAACATTGATACAAACTTTATATAATTAATATTTCGTTTTCAAAATAAGAAGAAAAAGAAAAAAAAAGCCGAAATTTCAAAAATTCAGTTTGTTGAACTAAATAACTTTTTTAGTATGATTATTTTGTGGATATTATATATATATATAAATATGCTTAAGTTCCTCTTTATTTTTATATAAATATATATACATATATATTTGCATAATAATAATAAAAGAATATATATATACTATGTAATTATATATATATATATATATATATATATATATATATATATATATATATATATATATATATATATATACTATGTAATTATATATATATATATACTATGTAATTATATATATATATATATACTATGTAATTATATATATATATATATACTATGTAATTATATATATATATATATATATACTATGTAATTATATATATATATATATATATACTATGTAATTATATATATATATATATATACTATGTAATTATATATATATATATATATATACTATGTAATTATATATATATATATATATACTATGTAATTATATATATATATATATACTATGTAATTATATATATATATATACTATGTAATTATTATGTGTGTGTATACATATATATATTTTTTTACGTGTATAATATTTTCTTTGAATATGATAATAGTTGTATATATATAATATATTTTTGTATGTTATGATTTTATATAGTATGATATATATATATAATATCCCATTAGATATAATAGATTTAATCCTGTCCTAAAGTCTTTAAAAAAATATAAAAAAAAACTTCCCTCAATATAAATCCGTTTCCCTCCCCCCTTCCCTTCCCTTACCTCCCCCCCCCTACCCTTCCCTCCATAAAAAATTCCCTCTTCCCTCCCTTTCCCTCCTCTTCCCTTCCCCTTCCCTCCCTTTCCCTCCTCTTCCCTCCCTTTCCCTCCTCTTCCCTTCCCCTTCCCTCCCTTTCCCTCCTCTTCCCTCCCTTTCCCTCCTCTTCCCTTCCCCTTCCCTCCCTTTCCCTCCCTCATCCCTCCCCTTCCCTCCCTCCCCACTTCCCTCCTTCCCCTCTTCCTCCTTTTCCCTCCCCTTCCCTTCCCCCTCCCCATCCCTTCCCTCCCTTTCCCCATCCCTCCCTCTCCTCATCCCCTCCCCCCATCCCTTTCCCCATCCCTCCCCTCCCCTTCCCTCTTCCCTCTTTCCCTCCCCCCCCCCCCCATCCGCGCACAGACCTATGCACCCTCCCCAAGGCATCGGGTTTGTGCGACGAGACGATACCTCGCTGGTACTATGACTACTCCGAAAAGCGCTGCATGCCTTTCTACTACACGGGCTGCGACGGTAACGCCAACCGCTTCGACACCAGAGGAGAGTGTGAGGCCACGTGTCCTGGGGAAGTGGAAGGTAAGAGAGGGAGAAGAGAGAGAGAGAGAGAGAGAGAGAGAGAGAGAGAGAGAGAGAGAGAGAGAGAGAGAGAGAGAGAGAGAGAGAGAGAGAGAGAGAAAGAAAGAGAGAGAGAGAGAGGCCTTTCTACTACACGGGCTGCGACGGTAACGCCAACCGCTTCGACACCAGAGGAGAGTGTGAGGCCACGTGTCCCGGGGAAGTGGAAGGTAAGAGAGGGAGACAAAGAGACAGAGAGAGAAGAGAGACAGAGAGAGAAGAGACAGAAAAAAGAGAAAGAGAGGAGGAAAAAAGAGACGGTTTGAGACAGTTTAAGGCCGTTAAAGACCGTTAAAAACAGTTAGAGAGAGAAAAGGAGACAGTTCGAAACCGTTAAAGACCGTTAGAGAGAGAGAGAGAGAGAGAGAGAGAAAGAGAGAGAGAGAGAGAGAAAGAGAGAGGGAGAGAGAGGGAGAGAGAGGGAGAGAGAGGGAGAGAGAGAGAGAGAGAGAGAGACCTTTTTACTACACGGGCTGCGACGGGGAACGCCAACCGCTTCGACACCAGAGGAGAGTGTGAGGCCACGTGTCCTGGGGAGGTGGAAGGTAAGAGAGGAAGAGAGAGAGAAGAGACAGAAAAAAAGAGAAAGAGAGGAGGAAAAAAGAGACGGTTTGAGACCATTTAAGGCCGTTAAAGACCGTTAAAAACAGATAGAGAGAGAAAAGGAGACAGTTAGAGACCGTTAAGGACCGTTAGAGAGAGAGAGAGAGAGAGAGGCCGTTATAGAGAGAAAGAGACGGTTCGAGACAGTTCGAGACCATTTAAGGCCGTTAAAGACCGTTAAGAACAGTTAGAGAGAGAAAAGGAGACCGTTAGAGACCGTTAATGACCGTTAGAGAGAGAGAGAGAGAGAAAGAGAGAGAGAGAGAGAGAGGGAAGAGGAGACGGTTCGAGACAGTTCGAGACCATTTAAGGCCGTTAAAGACCGTTAAGAACAGTTAGAGAGAGAAAAGAAGACAGTTAGAGACCGTTAATGACCGTTAGAGAGAGAGAGAGAGAGAGAGAGAAAGAGGGAGAAAGAGGGAGAGAGAGAGAGAGGGAAGAGGAGACGGTTCGAGACAGTTCGAGACCATTTAAGGCCGTTAAAGACCGTTAAGAACAGTTAGAGAGAGAAAAGGAGACAGTTAGAGACCGTTAATGACCGTTAGAGAGAGAGAGAGAGAGAAAGAGGGAGAGAGAGAGAGAGAGAGAGAGAGGGAAGAGGAGACGGTTCGAGACAGTTTAAGGCCGTTAAAAAACATTAATAACCGTTAAAAGTAGTTCGAGAGAAAGAGATCGTTAGAGAGAGAGGGAGAGGGGGAAGGAGAGAGAAATGAATAGACAAATAAATAAATAAAGAGAGAGGTAGAAAAGAGACAGAGACCGAAACAGAGACAGTTTTAGAGTGAGAATGAGAGAGAGGGGGAAAGATGAAGAGAGCGAGAGAAAGAAAGAAAGAGAGAGAGGGAAAGAAGGAGAGAGATTGAGAGAAAAAAAGATTGAGAGAAAAAGAGAGAGAGAGAGAGAGAAAAAAGAGAGAGAGAGAGAGAAAGAGAGAAAGAAACAAACAAACAAAAATAATGAGAACAACAAAGACGCAAGACCAGAAAGAACAGAAAATCAATAAACAACGATAAAAACAAATGCACAGATCAACAACAACAACAACAATAATAACACTAATAAATTGCATGTTTTTTTCATAATATATTTCCTTATAATAATAAACTAAATTAATATTCCTTTTTTGGTGATGGTAATATATATTAACTTAGATTTAATAATATAATTAGATTTAAATCATTGATTGGAATGTCAATGAATTAATTGTAGTTATTGCACGATTAAAAAAAAAAAAATAGTTGCATGTTGATAAGGTGTAAAAATTAACATTTTTTTTTTCCTTAATTAATGTTTATTATTAATGTTCTTTACTCTTCTTTATTTCATTATTTTTTCTTTTCCTTTTCTTCGTTTTTATGTTTTTTTTTCGTTTTTTTTTAAATATTTTTTTTCTTAGGTTTATGTATATATATATTGCCTCCTGTCAAGCGCTTGCCATTGTCAAGGAGGTCTTCTTGTCCTGTCAAGGTTGTCTGTCTGTCAAGCGTTCTTGTCAAGCTCCTGTCAAGTGTTCTTGTCAAGCGTCCTTATCTTGTCAAGCTCCTGTCAAGCGTTCTTGTCAAGCGTCCTTATCTTGTCAAGCGTTCTTGTCAAGCTTCTGTCAAGTATTGCGTGACAGTGAAGATTTTTACCGTTGTGTCCGTTTTCCGTTGTGTCATGTCCCGTGTAAAGGTTTGTGTCATGTCGCGTGTCAAGGTTTGTGTCATGTCCCGTGTCAAGGCTTGTGTCATATCCCGTGTCAAGGCTTGTCATGTCGCGTGTCAAGGCTTGTGTCATGTCGCGTGTCAAGGTTTGTGTCATGTCGCGTGTCAAGCTTTGTGTCATATCCCGTGTCAAGGCTTGTCATGTTGCGTGTCAAGGCTTGTGTCATGTCGCGTGTCAAGGCTTGTGTCATGTCCCGTGTCAAGGCTTGTGTCATGTCCCGTGTCATGGCCTGTCATATGTTCCGTGTCAGGTGTCATGTTCCGTGTCAAGGCTGTGTCATCCTGTAATCTATTTCCTATATCGAATCACACCTTTACCTCCCCCCCCCCTTCTCTGCCAACATCGAATGACACCCACACTCACTCTCTCCCCACACTCCTTCCCCACACTCACTCTCTCTCTCCCCACACTCACTCTCTCTCTCCCCACACTCACTCTCTCTCTCCCCACACTCACTCTCTCTCTCCCCACACTCACTCTCTCTCTCCCCACACTCACTCACTCTCTCCCCACACTCACTCTCTCTCTCTCCCCACACTCACTCTCTCTCTCTCCCCACACTCACTCTCTCTCTCTCCCACACTCACTCTCTCTCTCTCTCCCCACACTCACTCTCTCTCTCTCTCCCCACACTCACTCTCTCTCTCTCTCCCCACACTCACTCTCTCTCTCTCTCCCCACACTCACTCTCTCTCTCTCTCCCCACACTCACTCTCTCTCTCTCTCCCACACTCACTCTCTCTCTCTCTCTCCACACTCACTCTCTCTCTCTCTCCCACACTCACTCTCTCTCTCTCTCCCCACACTCACTCTCTCTCTCTCCCCACACTCACTCTCTCTCTCTCCCCACACTCACTCTCTCTCTCTCCCCACACTCATTCTCTCTCTCCCCACACTCACTCTCTCTCTCCCCACACTCACTCTCTCTCCTCTCTCTCTCTCCCCACAACTCCTCTCTCTCTCTCTCCTCCCCACACTCACTCTCTCTCTCCCCACACTCACTCTCTCTCTCCCCACACTCACTCTCTCTCTCCCCACACTCACTCTCTCTCTCTCTCCCTCACACTCACTCTCTCTCCTCTCTCCCACACTCACTCTCTCTCTCTCTCCCCACACTCACTCTCTCTCTCTCTCCCCACACTCACTCACTCTTCTCTCTCTCTCCTCTCTCCCCACACTCCTCACTCTCTCTCTCTCTCACCCACACTCACTCCTCTCTCTCTCTCTCCCCACCTCACTCTCTCCTCTCTCTCTCTCTCTCCTCCTCCCCACACTCACTCCTCTCTCTCCTCTCTCTCCTCCCCACACTCACACACTCACTCTCTCTCGCCCACACTCACTCACTCTCTCCCCACACTCCTCTCTCTCTCCCCACACTCACTCTCTCTCTCTCCCCCACTCACTCTCTCTCTCGCCCACACTCACTCTCTCTCTTCTCCCCACACTCACTCTCCTCTCTCCCCACACTCACATCACTCTCTCTCTCTCCCCACACTCACTCACTCTCTCTCGCCCACACTCACTCACTCTCTCCCCACACTCACTCTCTCTCTCCCCACACACTCTCTCTCTCCCCACACTCTCTCTCTCTCTCCCCACACTCACTCTCTCTCTCCCCAACTCACTCTCTCTCTCTCTCCCCACACTCACTCTCTCTCTCCCCCACACTTCCTCTCTCTCTCCCCACTACTTCCTCTCTCTCTCCCCACACTCACTCTCTCTCTCCCCACACTCACTCTCTCTCTTCCCCACACTCACTCACTCTCTCTCTCCCCACACTCACTCACTCTCTCTTCTCCCCACACTCACTCACTCTCTCTCCTCCCACACTCACTCACTCTCTTCTCTCCCCACACTCACTCACTCTCTCTCTCTCCCCACACTCACTCACTCTCTCTCTCCCCACACTCACTCACTCTCTCTCTCCCCACACTCACTGTCACTCTCTCTCTCCCCACACTCACTCTCTCTCTCCCCCACACTCACTCTCTCTCTCCCCACACTCACTCACTCTCTCTCTCCCCACACTCACTCTCTCTCTCGCCCACAACCCACTCTCTTCTCTCTCCCCACACTCACTCTCTCTCTCTCTCCCCACACTCACTCACTCTCTCCTCTCCCCACACTCACTCACTCTCTCTCCTCCCCACACTCACTCACTCCTCTCTCTCCCCACACTCACTCCTCTCTCTCTCCCCCACACTCACTCCTCTCTCTCTCCTCTCCCCACACTCCACTCTCTCTCTCTCTCCCCACACTCACTCACTCCTCTCTCTCTCCCCACACTCACTCACTCTTCTCTCTCCCCACACTCACTCTCTCGCTCTCTCCCCACACTCCTTCCCCACACTCACTCTCTTCTCTCCCCACACTCACGTCTCTCTCTCTCCCCACACTCACTCCTCTCTCTCCCCACAACTCACTCTCTCTCTCCCCACCTCACTCTCTCTCCTCTCTCTCCCCACACTCACTCACTCTCTCCCCACACTCACTCTCTCCTCTCTCCCCACACTCACTCTCTCTCTTCTCTCCCCACACTCACTCTCTCTCTCACTCCCCACACTCACTCACTCTCCTCTCTCTCCCCACACTCACCTCTCTCTCTCTCCCCCACACTCACTCTCCTCTCTCTCCCCACACTCACTCCTCTCTCTCTCTTCTCCCCACACTCACTCTCTCTCTCTCTCCCCACACTCACTCTCTCTCTCACTCCCCACACTCACTCTCTCTCTCTCTCTCCACACTCACTCTCATCTCTCTCTCCCCACACTCACTCACTCTCTCTCTCACCACACTCACTCTCTCTCTCTTCTCTCTCCCCCACACTTCACTCTCTCTCTCTCCCCACACTCACTCCTCTCTCTCTCCCCACACTCATTCTCTCTCTCCCCACACTCACTTCACTCTCTCTCTCACCCACACTCACTCACTCTCTCCCCCACACACTCACTCTCTCTCTCCCCACACTCACTCACATCTCTCTCTCCCCACACTCACTCTCTCTCTCCCCACACTCACTCTCTCTCTCCCCACACTCACTCACTCTCTCCTCCCCACACTCACTCTCGTCTCTCCCCACACTCTCTCTCTCCCCACACCACTCTCTCTCTCTCTCCCCACACTCACTCTCTCTCTCTCTCCCCACACTCACTCTCTCTCTCTCTCCCACACTCACTCTCTCTCTCTCTCCCCACACTCACTCTCTCTCTCTCTCCCCACCACTCACTCTCTCTCTCTCTCCCCACACTCACTCTCTCTCTCTCTCCCCACACTCACACACTCACTCTCTCCCCACACTCACACACTCTCTCCCCACACTCACTCTCTCTCTCCCCACACTCACTCTCTCTCTCCCCCACACTCACTCTCTCTCTCCCCACACTCACTCTCTCTCTCCCCACATTCACTCTCTCTCTCCCCCACACTCACTCACTCTCTCTCTCCCCACACTCACTCACTCTCTCTCTCCCCACACTCACTCACTCTCTCCCCACACTCACTCTCTCTCTCCCCCACACACTCTCTCTCTCCCCACACTCTCTCTCTCTCTCCCCACACTCACTCTCTCTCTCCCCACACTCACTCTCTCTCTCCCCACACTCACTCTCTCTCTCCCCACACTTCCTCTCTCTCTCCCCACACTTCCTCTCTCTCTCCCCACACTCACTCTCTCTCTCCCCACACTCACTCTCTCTCTCCCCACACTCACTCACTCTCTCTCTCCCCACACTCACTCACTCTCTCTCTCCCCACACTCACTCACTCTCTCTCTCCCCACACTCACTCACTCTCTCTCTCCCCACACTCACTCACTCTCTCTCTCCCCACACTCACTCACTCTCTCTCTCCCCACACTCACTCACTCTCTCTCTCCCCACACTCACTCACTCTCTCTCTCCCCACACTCACTCTCTCTCTCCCCACACTCACTCTCTCTCTCCCCACACTCACTCACTCTCTCTCTCCCCACACTCACTCTCTCTCTCCCCACACCCACTCTCTCTCTCCCCACACTCACTCTCTCTCTCTCTCCCCACACTCACTCACTCTCTCTCTCCCCACACTCACTCACTCTCTCTCTCCCCACACTCACTCACTCTCTCTCTCCCCACACTCACTCACTCTCTCTCTCCCCACACTCACTCACTCTCTCTCTCCCCACACTCACTCACTCTCTCTCTCCCCACACTCACTCACTCTCTCTCTCCCCACACTCACTCACTCTCTCTCTCCCCACACTCACTCTCTCTCTCCCCACACTCACTCTCTCTCTCCCCACACTCTGCCCACAACTGACCAAGGGAAGGAGACCTGCTCTCTGCCCACACTCACTCCCTTCCCCACACTCACTCCCTTCCCCACACTCACTCCCTTCCCCACACTCACTCCCCACACTCTCTGCCCACAACAGACCAAGGGAAAGAGACCTGTTATCTGCCCATCGCCGTCGGCACGTGCTCTGACCACCAGGAGCGTTGGCACTATGACACCAGTGCCACTCTCTCCCCACACTCACTCCCTTCCCCACACTCACTCCCTTCCCCACACTCACTCCCCACACTCTCTGCCCACAACAGACCAAGGGAAAGAGACCTGTTATCTGCCCATCGCCGTCGGCACGTGCTCTGACCACCAGGAGCGTTGGCACTATGACACCCGTGCCAGAGAGTGCCGCGCCTTCGTCTACTCCGGTTGTGAAGGAAATGCCAATAACTTCGCCACGTTGGCCGAGTGCGCCGATCTGTGCGGGAAAGTGGAGGTAGACCTTGCAGCCGAGGAGGAGTTTGATGGAGGTGAGGTTTGGAGGGGGAGGTGGTTTGGAGGGGGAGGTGGTTTGGAGGGGGAGGTAGGGTTGGAGGGGGAGGTAGGGTTGGAGGGGGAGGTAGGGTTGGAGGGGGAGGTAGGGTTGGAGGGGGAGGTTGGGGGGGTTTGGAGGGGGGGGTTGGAGGAGGAGGTTTGGAGGGGGAGGTTGGAGGAGGAGGTTTGGAGGGGGAGGGTTAGGGGGGGGAGGTGGTTTGGAGGGGGAGGTAGGGCGGGGGGAGGTTTGGAGGATTAGGGGGGGGAGGTGGTTTGGAGGAGGAGGTAGGGGGGGGGAGGTTCGAGGAGGAGGTTTGGGGGTTAGGGGGTGTTGGAGGGGGAGGTTTGGAGGAGGAGGTAAGGGGGGGGAGGGTGGGGAAGGAGGAAGGAGGGGGAGGAGGAGCTATTATTATTATTCCTCATCTTATATTCTTATCATTATTATCGTTATTACTATTCTTATCTTCGTTATTATCGTTGTTATCGCCATTATTATCATTATTATTATTATCGTTATCATTATTATTATCAACGTCTTCTTCGTCTTCGTCTTCTTCTTCTTCGTCTTCTTCTTCTTCGTCTTCTTCTTCTTCGTCTTCTTCTTCTTCGTCTTCTTCTTCTTCGTCTTCTTCTTCTTCGTCTTCTTCTTCTTCGTCTTCTTCTTCTTCGTTTTCTTCGTCTTCTTCTTCTTCTTCTTCTTCTTCGTCTTCGTCTTCTTCGTCTTCGTCTTCTTCTTCTTCGTCTTCTTCTTCTTCTTCCTATTATCACCGTTATCTCTCTTCCTCTTCTTCCAGGTCACTGTTCCCTGCCCCAAGACGCCGGCCCCTGTCTATCCCTTATCTCTCTCTCTCTTCCTCTTTATCACTCTTCCTCTTTATCACTCTTCCTCTTTATCACTCTTCCTCTCCCTTTTATCACCGTTATCTCTCTCCCTCTTCTTATCACCTCTATCTCTCTTCCTCTTCTTCCAGGCCACTGTTCCCTGCCCCAAGACGCCGGCCCCTGTCTATCCCTTATCTCTCTCTCTCTTCCTCTTTATCACCGTTATCACTCCTCTCCCTCTTCTTATCATCTCCTTTCCTTCTTCCTCTTTATCCCTCTTCTTATCGTCTCTATCTCTCTTCCTCTTCTTCCAGGCCACTGTTCCCTGCCCCAAGACGCCGGCCCCTGTCTATCCCTTATCTCTCTCTCTCTTCCTCTTTATCACTCTTCCTCTTTATCACTCTTCCTCTCCCTTTTATCACCGTTATCTCTCTCCCTCTTCTTATCGCCTCTATCTCTCTTCCTCTTCTTCCAGGCCACTGTTCCCTGCCCCAAGACGCCGGCCCCTGTCTATCTCTTATCTCTCTCTCTCTTCCTCTTTATCACTCTTCCTCTTTATCACTCTTCCTCTCCCTTTTATCACCGTTATCTCTCTCCCTCTTCTTATCGCCTCTATCTCTCTTCCTCTTCTTCCAGGCCACTGTTCCCTGCCCCAAGACGCCGGCCCCTGTCTATCCCTTATCTCTCTCTCTCTCCCTCTTCTTATCATCTCCTTTCCTTCTTCCTCTTTATCCCTCTTCTTATCGCCTCTATCTCTCTTCCTCTTCTTCCAGGCCACTGTTCCCTGCCCCAAGACGCCGGCCCTTGCACCGACTACCAAACGCGCTGGACCTACGACAGTGCGACTGGCGTCTGCAAGCAGTTTGTTTACGGCGGTTGCCATGGGAACGAGAATCGCTTCGGGTCACGTGACGAGTGCGAGAGGAGATGTGGCAACGCTGTGGGTGAGTTTGGATGGGATAGATGGAGGGATAGATAGATAAGGAGAGGGAGAGAGGGAGGGAGGGACAGAAGGATAGAGGGATAGAGGGACAGAAGGATAGAGGGACAGAAGGATAGAGGGACAGAAGGATAGAGGGACAGAAGGATAGAGGGACAGAAGGATAGAGGGATAGAGGGACAGAAGGATAGAGGGACAGAAGGATAGAGGGACAGAAGGATAGAGGGACAGAAGGATAGAGGGATAGAGGAACAGAAGGATAGAGGGACAGAAGGATAGAGGGACAGAAGGATAGAGGGACAGAAGGATAGAGGGATAGAGGGATAGAGGGACAGAGGGATAGAGGGACAGAAGGATAGAGGGACAGAGGGACAGAAGGATAGAGGGACAGAAGGATAGAGGGACAGAAGGATAGAGGGACAGAAGGATAGAGGGACAGAAGGATAGAGGGACAGAAGGATAGAGGGACAGAAGGATAGAGGGACAGAGGGACAGAGGGACAGAGGGATAGAGGGACAGAGGGATAGAGGGACAGAAGGATAGAGGGACAGAAGGATAGAGGGACAGAAGGATAGAGGGATAGAGGGACAGAAGGATAGAGGGACAGAAGGATAGAGGGACAGAGGGATAGAGGGACAGAAGGATAGAGGGACAGAAGGATAGAGGGACAGAAGGATAGAGGGACAGAAGGATAGAGGGACAGAAGGATAGAGGGACAGAAGGATAGAGGGACAGAAGGATAGAGGGACAGAAGGATAGAGGGACAGAAGGATAGAGGGACAGAAGGATAGAGGGACAGAAGGATAGAGGGACAGAGGGATAGAGGGACAGAAGGATAGAGGGACAGAAGGATAGAGGGACAGAAGGATAGAGGGACAGAAGGATAGAGGGACAGAAGGATAGAGGGACAGAAGGATAGAGGGACAGAAGGATAGAGGGACAGAAGGATAGAGGGACAGAAGGATAGAGGGACAGAAGGATAGAGGGACAGAAGGATAGAGGGACAGAGGGACAGAAGGATAGAGGGACAGAAGGATAGAGGGACAGAAGGATAGAGGGACAGAAGGATAGAGGGACAGAGGGATAGAGGGATAGAAGGATAGAGAGACAGAGGGACAGAAGGATAGAGGGACAGAAGGATAGAGGGACAGAAGGATAGAGGGACAGAAGGATAGAGGGACAGAAGGATAGAGGGACAGAAGGATAGAGGGACAGAAGGATAGAGGGACAGAAGGATAGAGGGACAGAAGGATAGAGGGACAGAAGGATAGAGGGACAGAAGGATAGAGGGACAGAGGGACAGAAGGACAGAGGGACAGAAGGATAGAGGGACAGAAGGATAGAGGGACAGAAGGATAGAGGGACAGAGGGACAGAGGGATAGAGGGACAGAGGGACAGAGGGATAGAGGGACAGAAGGATAGAGGGACAGAAGGATAGAGGGACAGAAGGATAGAGGGACAGAAGGATAGAGGGACAGAAGGATAGAGGGACAGAAGGATAGAGGGACAGAGGGATAGAGGGACAGAAGGATAGAGGGACAGAAGGATAGAGGGACAGAAGGATAGAGGGACAGAAGGATAGAGGGACAGAAGGATAGAGGGACAGAAGGATAGAGGGACAGAAGGATAGAGGGACAGAAGGATAGAGGGACAGAAGGATAGAGGGACAGAAGGATAGAGGGACAGAAGGATAGAGGGACAGAAGGATAGAGGGACAGAAGGATAGAGGGACAGAAGGATAGAGGGACAGAGGGACAGAAGGATAGAGGGACAGAGGGACAGAAGGATAGAGGGACAGAGGGACAGAAGGATAGAGGGACAGAGGGACAGAAGGATAGAGGGACAGAGGGACAGAAGGATAGAGGGACAGAAGGATAGAGGGACAGAGGGACAGAAGGATAGAGGGACAGAAGGATAGAGGGACAGAAGGATAGAGGGACAGAAGGATAGAGGGACAGAAGGATAGAGGGACAGAGGGACAGAAGGATAGAGGGACAGAAGGATAGAGGGACAGAGGGACAGAAGGATAGAGGGACAGAAGGATAGAGGGACAGAAGGATAGAGGGACAGAGGGACAGAGGGACAGAAGGATAGAGGGACAGAAGGATAGAGGGACAGAAGGATAGAGGGACAGAGGGACAGAAGGATAGAGGGACAGAGGGATAGAGGGATACAGGGATAGAGGGACAGAAGGATAGAGGGACAGAAGGATAGAGGGACAGAGGGATAGAGGGACAGAAGGATAGAAGGATAGAGGGACAGAAGGATAGAGGGACAGAAGGATAGAGGGACAGAAGGATAGAGGGATAGAGGGACAGAAGGATAGAGGGATAGAGGGATAGAGGGACAGAAGGATAGAGGGACAGAAGGATAGAGGGACAGAAGGATAGAGGGACAGAAGGATAGAGGGACAGAGGGATAGAGGGACAGAAGGATAGAGGGACAGAAGGATAGAGGGACAGAAGGATAGAGGGACAGAAGGATAGAGGGATAGAAGGATAGAGGGATAGAGGGACAGAGGGATAGAGGGACAGAGGGATAGAGGGATAGAGGGACAGAAGGATAGAGGGACAGAAGGATAGAGGGACAGAAGGATAGAGGGGCAGAAGGATAGAGGGATAGAGGGACAGAAGGACAGAGGGATAGAGGGACAGAAGGATAGAAGGATAGAGGGACAGAAGGATAGAGGGACAGAAGGATAGAGGGACAGAGGGATAGAGGGATAGAGG